GAGTTTGGGACAGGACTATCTGTTTGGTCAACCAGTGGCACAAGTTTGGGACAGGACTATCTGTTTGGTCAACCAGTGGCACGAGTTTGGGACAGGACTATCTGTTTGGTCAACCAGTGGCAGACAGGGTTGGTTGTGTGTTGGTAAGCCAGTTTGGTAAAACAATCATCATTTTAAGTATACAGTGTTTAGTTCTTAAAAGAACCATTTATTTTCTTAGTGTAAAGAACATTTTAATAATCTTCCAAAAGGTTAAATAGCCATATGGATGAGATTATGAGGAGAAATGGTTAAACAAACAGCACTAACGAGTAGAAGAGATAACACCGGTGCCATTCACCAGTATATTACACACTTTTCAAACTACACATCCTCAGCATGATTATGATCACTGTTTTGCTTTAGTAACAGTTTCATATTGAATCTAAAGGGCTAATCTATTAGACTGTGGCTGTCATAAGCTGTCAAATGCGGCTTTTCCGAGCTCAACGGCTCTGGCCCGAGCTGTGATATAAACAAAATGCTATTGGCTATTTAAAAAAGGGGGTGAGGCTGCTCAATATGTCCCGCCCTGTCTTTCAGTTGAAATTACATCAACACATAGAATAACACTGCGTGTTTTAATGCACTACAGTGGATCTTTAAAGAAAAAATTTCCACTATAAAGAACCTTTTTTGGAACGGAAAGTTTACACAGATGTTGAAGGTTCTTCATGGAACCATCAATGCCAACAAAGCACCTTTATTTTTAAGAGTGTAGTACATTTGTGCAGCTAATGAGCCATAGGAAGTGACATTTATCCATGTTCCACTTGGTTACAAAAGTATGAAAGTCTTACCTGGAGCTATTGAGGATATGATGCTGTTTGTTTTTCTTAGGGTTCAGTAGCACCACCACACACCTATAAAATGACAAAAGAAAGGGGTCATTAAAATGCTATTTAGCAGACACTTTCAATTCAAGACAACATAATGATCATTTTACTATGGTGACAGCTTTCTATGTGTGTTTTTTGGGTTTTGTGTTGTACGGGTGCAGTGCGTGACAGAGTCGAGTCTCATCCTCTGTGTTTTTCATCTCCCAAATACAGGAACAATCTCAATCCTTTTCAAAGAATGAAAAACAAACACAAGCCCTTTACAGCCTTTTATATGGAAGTACTGTAGAGCTGGTCCTATAAAGACTGCCTGAGACAATGTCAGATGGGGGAAATGACCAGCTGTACTGCAGACAGAAAAGGAAGGCAGTCAGACAAACAGAACACAGGAAATACATCAATGACCACAGCAGAATCCTTCATATTTAGTACACTCAGAAAAATAACGACAAGTACAAACTGCTAAAACACAAATTGTCCTACAAATAAATAAAATGCTGATTCAGAGACGGTGCTTAAATCAGTTTTCAGAAAAACAAAAACACCCTGCCATGCATTTACACAGCCACCCAAAGGAGATGAGTCAACACTCTTCAGCTCGGTGCATTTGCATCATAATCTGATACATTAATTGCAACTAAAATCAAACAACTAAATATATAAATAAAGTTTTAGATAAATAAACAGATAGTTGGATGAATAGATGGATAGATTTAAGAATATATAGATAAATAATAATTGTTATTATAGAATATTATATTTACAGTTTTTAAATTAATGTATAATTGTATATGATGTAGAATGTAGAAAGGAACTGGTAGAAGAGATTTCTTCTTCAATGGATAATAAGGAATATACTGTGGGGGTGTTCCTGGATTTAAAAAAAGCATTTGACACTATTGATTATGGTTTATTAATGATGAAACTGGAGAGATATGGTATAAGAGGAAAAGCCTATACTTGGATAAAAAGTTACCTCGATGACAGATATCAATTTGTACAAATAAATAATGTTAAATCAGATGTAATGAAAGTCACTTGTGGTGTTCCGCAAGGTTCGGTGTTAGGCCCCAAATTGTTTGTACTGTACATAAATGATATTTGTAAAGTGTCTAAAGTATTAAAAATGGTTTTGTATGCTGATGATACAAATTTATATTGTTCGGGGAAAAACTTGGAACAGCTTCTGAATACAGTGGAAATCGAACTCATGGTTTTCAAAAAAATGGTTTGATGA